TATTACAAAAACAACATTCAAATAAATTATTTTTCACTGCAGTATGCCAAGTTTTTGGAGATAGAATTAAAATTGGACTTTCATTTTAGACTAAGTAAAGCATAATACTAGACTATAATACTGCATATACTAGTGAGATCCAAATGCCCACAGTGTTGCAAGAGAACATTTTCCCTCAGGCATTTGAAATTTAATGCTTCTTTAATATTCTCTGTTGGATATTGTTAGAATGGAATTTCAAATATTTCCTGCAATTTGAGTTAAAGATTACTGAGTAATGCTGAGCAGCAAAAAATTTTTGAAGCGTACATCTAAAGCTGGTAGAGTAGCTTAATGTCCTGTTGTTTCTTGCTTTAGCAAAATTAATTTCTTCAGTCTTCAACCATGAATTCACGGACCACCTGGAGATACAAACCTATAATTTAACTGTGGTGTATTTCTAGCTCTCTTGCCTAATACACACTGAGGCCAGAGTCTGTATGTCAGGCAACTATAAAAGGAAAAGGCCATTTCAGAGCAATACTTTATATTCTCCCAAATCAGACAGTAAGCAACTTGAAAAGCAGTATCTGGCCCATTATTGTAAATAAATGGGATTACAGGCCATGAAACAAATGCATATTCTATTATACAGACAAGAGTAACACCTTTCCAATAGGACTCAAAACATTCAAAAGGCTTTAATCCAATTAAGGTCCAATTTTTTCATCATACCTATATTAGTGCTTTACCATGGGTACTCTTTACAGGTAAGGGTAGATGGTAAGTAGAGCAAAAAGGCATAGTTGTATCATTCAAAAGGAAACTAGAAAAACACAAACTGTAATCATGATTCCTGTTACTTGATTACTTCATATAGAAGCCTCCTTCATCCAAAGACACAGCACCTTTCCATCATTTGTGTCATGATATAAGCAGTCAATTTCCCAGTTTTTTTCTATGGCCATTACTCCCCTTCTCATTCATACTGGGCACATGACTACCTTGACTTCGAATTAACTAATTCTACAACACCATCCCAGCCTGACAGGACAACTCTAAATGACTTCAAGACAGGCCCAAAAGTTTCTAACATTTTCTTTGTGCATGAGCCTGAAGACCATTCTCATGATTTCCAACAGACCCTTGCCAACACTGAACTAAAAAAAACAACAAAAAAATATATGCATGCCTATTTATGAGCAACAGGAAGTTCCAAGTTATGCAGTACTGGTATGGACAATAGAGTCCACACAGCTGGAATCAAGGGCCTATAATTTTATTCACAAATGGGGTAGTTTGGTGTGGAGATCAGGATTGATAGGGAGCTGGCTTCACCTGCAGATATAGATAGCTTCAACTTCAAACTCTGGGAGACATCTAGCTAGGAGAAACGACATCCTTTGACATCGTGGTGAAAGAATAGAAAGAAGAGTTGTCGCATGGGAATAAATACGTTAACCAATTTGTTACAAATAAGATGTTGTTCTTGGTTTTGATTTATGGTTGGCTGGCTGCCAGTTACATATATGGTTTTGTTCCTTGTCCTTGTTATGGATTGGATCCTGTGCCCTCCACCCTATCTGTATACCTCTGTGCTTTCCGATTGAGGTCTTTGGATGTGTGCCTTCAAGTCCTGCGGCTTCTAAGGTTGTTACCTTTGTTACATTCAAAGCCTTTATGTTTCGAGGCCACTCCATCCTTCTACTCCCTCTATATATTCACACCACGGAGATTCCCCAGCTGATCCACCTGCAGTGGCCATAGCTCAGCCCTACAGTGTGCAGCTGAATGAAAACAGGCATGTGCAGAATACTTGTGGTTATGTGAGCAGAATGAATAAAGACAATTTCTTCTTTCTTTACTCAAGTATCAGTAGACACTGAATATGGTCAGTACTACAAGCATATATGCTACTAAAGCCACCCATAGACTCTGCTGCTGCCTAAAAATCGGTTTGGATAAGGTTTCCAAAAGCAGGCCAGATACCAAAAAGAATCTGTTAAACTGCAGAAAAACCTCCATACAGGAAACAAAATGTTTAGTTGCCTCTTACGCTTATTACTGATAAATTCATGTATGAAACTTACGTTTCACATATGAATAATGCCATTAAGATAAAAATTTATCAGTCTTTTCTTTCCGTAAGGCATGATATTTTATACAATTAACTTCAAAAAATCACCCTCCTTCAATAGGGGGGTGTGATAAATGTGATTCGTGCTAATTAAGTTGTAACAATATTAACAAAATTGTATTTAGATCAATATAAGACAATTGTTACAGAGTGAGGGGGGAGAGGGGTGAGACAGGGCAAAGGACATCTTCCAGATGTTGGGAGTCGAAGAAGAAGGTTGGAAGAAAGTCAAACAAGAATAGTAGAAGGACGTAAGTCTGACAAACAGCATCTAGAAATAGAAAGTTTTGACCTTGAAATGGGCCAAAATGGGATGATTCCAAGCATGGGACTCAATTAAAGTCTTGTTATGGAAAACATCTGCTCAGTCACACAGGGCGCCTGCGCTACCTGCAGGTCACACCTCGGTCACTGATGAAGACAATGAGCCTTCATCGGAAATAAGACCCTCAAAAGGATGAGAGACCCCCTAACCCATTAGTAGAGCATGCGCCGTGCAATATAGTTACGTAGTTTTTAGGAATAGAAACTAGGAGGAGCTTTCTAGAAACTTCTGTAGCCTACAGTATAAAAGTAGGACTGTTAGCCTGGATGCTTTGGTACATGAGGAATGGCGAGCCACTCCCTGGTCGGTTTTGCTTATGCTTTATACGAACCTCAATTATACTAAATTACTTACTGCCAAATTTTGTATATTCTTAAATATATGCACTTTGTTTCATCTCCAATACTTTGATTGTATTCATTTTGTTACTATTAAAAACTTACTATTAAATTTAATCTTGTTGCTTGATAAATTGGAAAAAATAGAACATCATTCATAACAGGGGGAAAAAGGAGAAAAATTTAGTTTGTATAGTAGCAGCTATTAAGAATCTGGTTAAGAAATAAATTCACAAAGATGCTGTAAAACAAGCTGTAATATTTTAAGCAAACTATGTGACCATAATTCACAGAATGAAACCTAATGAGAAAAATTATTGTAATTATGCAAGAGATTTGGCATGGAAGAGCATTCATCAGTCATTCTGACATGGAAAGGATGGATAAAAGAAGCAGATGGATTCACCTATCTGCACTGAGCCTAGAAAACAGAAAGTCATCATTATGGTTGCTAACTTCTTGTTCAAAATGTATTACTTGATTATCAGGTTATAATGAACAAATGCAAAAGCAAGTCATACAAGAGAAATAGCAAACGTTTATTTTCAGTAGGACTTGACTAAATGCTTATGTCATTTTAAAAACTCACAAGGACATCAGCTTAATGTTTACATCTAGTGGGGAGAAGGGGTGCTGGTGTTCAGGTTGAGTTTTTTTTAATGTTGCAATGAATTAACTTCAAGAGTACAAGGTTTGCTTTGGTAGAACTTGAATTGTTACACAGGTCATCTCTTTAGAATACCAACCTGCCACTTCTCCTCCACACAGTGACATTAGTAAGTAGAAAACCCACATATTGCTGTCACAAAGTCTCTGTTTAACCAAGAGAAAGACAGATTTGTGTTAAGGTAGAAGAATCCAGTAATGCTACTTCTCCTTGCACCAGGAACACAATTCTTCTGTGAACTTTGCAGTAATTCAGAGATCAACTTCACTGAATTTACAGCCAATATGCCAAAGTCTTTGTTGTCATGGTTGTTTGGTGTGTGGGTTGGTTTTGTTTGGCTTTGTTTTTAAACAGGGATTCTCTGTATCCTGGACCTTGTAACAACTGTGAGAAGAAAATCCCCCAAAAGTGGTGCTCAGGTGGTGGATGAGGACAGCTCTGAGGACCCCCTCAGCTCTGGGGGTGCCATTATGAAGCCACTGTGCCACTACCCTCTCTGGTCAGTGATGGAGCCCTGAACTCTTTTGGGCATCAGAGCACTCCCTTCAGATCTGACCCACACCAGAGGAGGCCTGAACTCTCAGTGTCCCCTGCCAAACCTACAATACTTGCTTGTGCTATTGACCTACCTAGGGGAAAACAAATAAAAAAGAACTTTGTGTTCATATTTTTTATTAGTATTTGACTCATGAATAGTTCATAAGGATTACTAATACATATTACATGCAAGCTATAGATTATTTGTGTCTTCATAGGAGCAGGCACGTGAGTATAGGATGTGTTATTGCATCTTAGCTATGTATTAAAAACATGCTGAAGATTTTAGAAATCAATTAATGATTAATTTAAAAACCAACTAAGCTGTTAAGAAATTAAAAATAAGCAAGAAATAATTAAACCACTTCCATAGATGGCAAAATTTCTCATTTAGAAAGAAAGCTTTCACCAGAGCAAAAAGAAAATTGGGATTATAAATGGAATTTAAAGATAATCTATAGTTTCTTCATGACATTTAATGTCCATGCAGTATTACATGACTGAAGTTTAGAAATGAACAGTGAAAAGTTATGTTTGGGACATTAGCACTAGGAATAAAAAAAGTCCCCAACCCTGTATTAATTTTCTAAACTACAATTTTAGTAGTTCTTGCTCATATCTGTACCTTTATAAAAAGCTGTTCTAGATTTCTCACATACTTTACAAAATAACTTTTGAGCATCTTAATTCTGTTCCAGTATTTTTTGTAATGTTTTACCTTATTTCTGAAAAATCTCTTCCTATTATTCCTTTGGACCAGAATGCAGAGGAGATTTACAAAACGACTTCAATTCTAGCATTTCTAGGTTTGAACTTGGCCGACACATTCATGTCATATTTTCCGACATAGTCTTGTGAATTTTAAATGTTAATTATATCACACACACTTAGCTACAAGAGACAAGACTTGGTAACAACAACCATAAGTGAATGCATCAAAAAAAACTGTATTAGACATAGAGAAGATGATAAAAAGAAAACTTCACAAATTACTGAAAATTAAGTGTTAAAACTTACCTAAAAATATTCATCAGTTTCTATAGATGGCAATGAAGGAAAAGAAAATCCCATCGAAAATACTGTTAAAGAACACAGCCAGCTGTTAACAGAGAATAATTAATTTTAAAATATTTTTTTAAAAATTAAGAGCTAATTCTGGCAGACTACCCTTCAAAACTACTAGCTGTCTTGAAAAATAATATTTAATCCCTAGAGAATGGAGATTAAAACATTTTAATACTTCCATGTGTTGTTTAATTACTGATTTCCACATAATTCAGTATCTTTTGAGTGCAAAAATTGCAAAGCGTGTCTGAAGAGTTAGCCAAGAGCCCAATTCACACGCACACTAAATTTCCATTACTTCATTTGCATGTAATGTTTCCATTTATGCAGCTTTTTGGCTTACAGTGCTACACAAAGGACTGATACTAATGAAACACTGGGGAGCATTAAAGAATATTTTTCAAAATTACATTTAAATTTTGCTTGGAAAACATTAAAACTTAATAACTAGAAACAAATTTAAGAAGGAAATACTAGAATTGTTAAATTTTGCTGACTTTAAAAATTATACCACCTTCATAAAAGGCAACATTTTACAGTATCTTTAGTTAAATCAACACAGACAACAACTGAGTCCATCTCAGACTAATAATACTGGGATTGAAAATAAACTGATAAACATGCTTCTGACAAACAAAACCATTTACACATGGCTTTGCATCACAGCAAATTACTTTCAACACAAAGTAACAAGACTTGCTGTTATCTGCAACAGCAAATATTTCCAGGAGCACAAGCTTGGGCAAAAAAGGACCAAGAATAAGAAGAGTCTTACCTACAGAAGAAAGTTTGAAAGTTTCAAGTTAAGCTTTTAACTGAAATCCACTAAATCAATACAATCTGCTATGCTGATACAGACAAATCAGTTTACAGCCTGCTGAAAATTGATAAGAAATCAATTTACACTGAACCAATTATAGTCAGTGGACATTGCCTTATGTGGGTCCACATCAGGTTTGGTGTGTATTTAAATCTTAAACCATTTTAAATAGTGTTAGTTAAGTCTGTACAACGTCTAGGTGCAGAAAAGGTTAAAAGTCACCAGGGTAAAGCATCTTAAGACACTCTGGAAAACGCTGTGTTAAACAAGCTCCCTCCTCCTTACCAAGCTTCCCTACACTTCACAGCAAGCCAGCCCTCAGCTCTGTTTGCAGCTATTTGGCTTTCAAACTCGTCCACAGAAGGGACCTTGGGTACAGTCTTCATTCATACTAAAAACGTAGGGTTATTAACCGATATAAATCAGTATCCCTCGACAATTTAAATAAAGCCGGCAGGACTGTACCACGTCCTGCACTCTGACGCTGCAGAAGCTGCCAGGTGCCCAAATACTCCTCCAAGCCACGGGACGTCCTGAGCTGTGGCAGGAGCACGACTGGCAGCAGGACTCTCTAAAACGAGAACACTTCGCATCACAAGTATCAATATTCACAGTTTATACTCCTTGCCGTAAAGGAGTAACTTCCCTCTCCTGTCGCAGGACCGAAGAAGAAATTGCCTTAGTATAGATGTTCCTTAGATTGCTTTTTTAAAAATAATACTACCTACCATAAGGACTAGAGTAAGATTTAAAACTAATCCTGGAGAAAAATACTGGGAACAATGAGACCTCAACTAACAGGGAATCTTGTCAGGATCTGAAGGAAAAGAAAAATCAACTGTGTTAACCAAGACCTTCTTTTACACCTTAACAACACAGTTTATGAAGCTCTATTCTGCCGATGCATTTATGCCAGTACCAGACTCCCTTACAGCCAAAGGTATTTACTTCACTCAACAATTCGAAATACAAGTAAACGAGCAGCTTTATTTTTGTACAAGTGATCGCTAGTTTAGCCACGCAATTCTACCAGCGGAATAGCACATGTAAGCTCTCAGCTTTCCCTGAAAATAAAATGGAAAGGACCAAGAAACAGGACAGCAGGATTTCATGAAGTGTGGAACACCCTGGGACAACGCGCTAAAGCGCCGGGGACGTGCGGGCAGCTCCCCAAAGGAGGCCAGGCAGGAGGGAAACGCGCGGGAAACGCGAGGGGAACGCTCTGCTCCGGGATGCCCCAGGGGTATGCCCCGCCGAGCAGGGCAGGGCAGGGCAGGGCCCGGCCGCGTACTCGCACCCACCAAGCGCTCCGAGTTCGCGGGGCGGGCAAGGGAGCGGCACCGCCAGCACCAAGGCCTGTCCCCCGCATCACTGCACCAACCGCGCCTGCCACCCCTCGCGCATGCGCCGCTGCAGCCGCCCCACCGCCCTCCGCATCCTCGCCGCTGACCGCGTATGCGCGGTCTGAGAAGCCGGCACTTGCCGCAGCCCCCACCTCTTCCAACCTTGCGCATGCGCAACGAAGGGAGCTGCGCGTCGCCCTCTAACGGCCTAATCTCTCGGGCGCCGCGCGGCTCTTCGATGAATGGGGAGAGGGGTGAGCAGCAACCGCCAATGGCGCGCGGGGGCGCGGCGCGACGACTCCGAGGCACGCTGGGAGTTGTAGTTCTCTCCGGCAGCCGAGCGGTGCGGACCGGCGACGACCACGACTACAGCCCCCAGGCGGCCGCGCGTGGCCGCGCGACCCGCCCCCCAGCGGCAACTCGGCGCAGCTCTGCCACGGCAGCAGTCGCGTCGCAGAGGTGACCCCGAACAGCCGGTGGACCCGCCGCTCCTGCAGACATGGTTGGTACCGGGCCCGCGGCGGTACCGCGCCCCTCGGGTTCCTTCGGCTCGGGGCAGGGAGCTCCGGCAGGCGGAGGTGACCCTGAAATGGCCTCGCTCTCCCTGCCTGGCCGCGCTGCTCCCGGGAGGGCCCGGGGAATGAAGGGCAGGGGTGACCTGGAGGTGGTCGTGGCGCCCAGAGGAACCTGGCCTCCCGGCGCCCCAGGTCTCGCCGCAGCCCCCGCGCAGCCGCGCCGGGGTGACCTTCCAGGCGGGGACGTGGGGTCGGTGCAGGCTTGGTAGCGGCTCTGGGCTCTCCATCTTCCCAGGTCCATGCGGGGGAGGGCGGTATGTGCCCCGTCGGAATGCAGCAAACCTCCCTGTCCTGGACCTGGCATTCCGGAAGGGTAATCGCGCCTTTTCCCGGCGCCGCGGCTGCCGACATTGCCTTCGGGAGATAGGGGTTGTCAGCGCCTTCGTTCATGAAGCATGGAAGGTTTTGGTGCGGTTCTGTGTTAGCTCAAGAGAAAGTGCTTGTGAAATGTCTTTATTGGTTCATCCCTGCTGCTATCGGAAGTCCAGCTGTTTGTTCAGACTCTCTAGATTGTCAAGGAGTCCTTCTAGCTCTGCACTGAGGTTACAGAGGTGAGCTGCAGTGCTGTGCTTTTCTGCAGTGTGTGTACATTGATATACAAACCTGCACAGAGATCTTGCTTTCCTTTCTAGTCATGAAAACATCTCCGTTTTTTCTAGACTCAATACTGTTATTCAAACCTTCACTTTCAGTATTTTGCTGTAGAAAGGATGCTTACATGCTCTGAAACGTGGTTTATTTCAGCTGTACCCTAAAAAAATACCAAAATCTGTAAACTTTATCCTACTTTTCCATTCTTTCTATTTAAAATGTGGATTTGCAGGAGTGACAACACGACAGCAAGTTTTGGTCTGTATTTGAGCTCTCAAAGCATTGGCTGACATAGAAGGGCTGGTTTCACAGAAAACTGCTGATTGTAACTTTGATGTCCAGACTACTCAGAACGTCACTGTTTTTATCTTGCCTTTGCTGTTCAGATTATGCATGTGGTGTTGGGCAGAAGCTTAAAATTTCTGAAATAAAGTCATATATTAGTGCAACCACCACTAGCTCAATGAACTGGAAAAGGTTTTACAGGGCACCTGTGTCAAGGTAGTTTCTTAAGGAAGGAATGGCTTTGGAATTGCTTTGGTCTCTGAACCACAGTGCTGGTGGTGTTCTTCAAGTGCACAGCTGCCTTGCTGAGACTTTACTACATTTCCAAACGTTTATTATTTCCACAGCTCTGCTTTAAAGAATGGAGAGCAAAGGGAAAGTTTATTAGGCAGACTCTAGACTTTGGAAGAGATAAAAATGTATTTTAATGATTAAATAATTCTTGTAAAGCAAGGCGGGGTAGCTTAGTTGGCTGTAATATTCAGGAATAATGTTAAGCTGATGGTATTTTATAGACAAGTTTATCAGCAGTAATCTTTATAGAGATCTCTCATAACTGCAATTAACAATGCAAAGTCTGTCACTTGTATAGTCAGGATGTTCCTATCACAACATTTGATAGGTTGTGAGTTATCTTTTACTTACCTTTGTAACCTCCTCAATCAGTTTTGCAGTGCTGTTTGCAGGTATGGCACTAATGTTTTAGGTCTGCTGATATCAGTTGTAATCACAGACATAACTGAGGCACCGACTTCTTAAACCAAAGTGTGTGGGGAGACGGTAAGACCTCAACTTCCTTACTTGATACTGGAGGCTTTGCTTTTATCTGTGGTAGCTTAGGAGGGGAAGAGATCCTACATTTGCTGGATTAGATGAAGAAGGGTACCTGGGGATGCAATGTTCAGTTGCTGGGGTTTTTTTTCTCATCCTTTTTATCATTGCTTTTGCTACTCTTTTATTTTCCTAAAACTTTTTAACTGTACATCAGTTGAATGTGGAGTGGAGAAAGCTTTGGAACAAAATAGTTCAGCTAGTTGTTGCTGAATTTGTCCTCTAGTTCCTGTATACCTGAGAGTGAGTAAAGGTCACCCCTGCAGTTACCACAGCATGAAAGTCCTGCAGCAGCCAAGTCACGGGTTAAAGCGCCTGAACATGAATGTCTGGAAGCTACAACTTCTATTGGGGAGCCTCTCATTTCTCTAAAAGTAGCTTCAGACACTCAGTGAGACTAATTTTAATATGAGATGTAAGGGTTTTTTGGTGAGAGTTATCCACATTTTGTAAGAAGTACAATGGTTTTGGTTTGTTAATCCAGCTTCTGGGTTTAAGAGAGAGCATGAAAGTTTCTTTGATGCTAAATGCTCACAATTGATACAGGGGTAAAAGGGTCTGGGAAGTGCCCTGAATCCAATGTACTGAAGGTTTGGAAAAGAAAAACAAGTAGACAGCACTCCTCACCTTATTTTAGCTTATGTGTTTTCCTCCTCCAGCCCCAAATGGGGGACAACAGAAAGAGTGGTAGTAAGCAAACATAATTATGTTGAGAAGGTGGAGCTGAGTCATGACAGAAGGTTTGGGGTTTTATTTAGAGGCTAAATGCTAAGTTTGTCTCAGTAAAAAAATAATAAGTAGTCCTATTTCTTACCTTTTTATCTTCTTTCTCTCTCCTCTTGTTATGCTGAATACTCACCACAATGCAACTGGATAGGTTGGCATATTTTATGTTTCAATCAGACTGGCTTATAAAGTTCATAGAATGGGAAAAAAAATCTCTTTTCCTTTCTCCATTTTGTGACACTGCTTTAGAAGAAAGAGCCTTAAAATCTTTCTTCTGTTCCCTAGAAATTCAGAAATCAATTCACAGTTGATTTCAGATACCCTATAATATAAAGAAAACAAGTTTTGCTACTACCTATGTGAATTCTAAAATAGTTTAGCACAGGTTCACTTTTTACATGATGGGGATTTTGCCAGGTCAAGGTTTTGCAGCATTGTTACTTTCCAGTACTTATTTTACTAAGTAGTGTGGTTGGTTGCCTTAAAAGAGTGTTTATTGTTCCATTTATGTAAATAAAACGTAGATTCTTCTTAGAAACATGCTAAAAACTTGGCTTTAAAATTTGGTACTCATCTTAATCCGTGCTGCCCATCATTATTCAGATGTTATGGTACATTTCCCTGCTCAAGAATAGAATACCAGAACTAGTTTTGATATTTAAACCAGCAAGACTTGATTGCTCTCCTGCCCCTCATAGTGGAGTTTTGATGAAGTTGGAGGAATGTGACTCATAGTAGGACACGTTCAAAAGAGAATAAAGCACTTCAACACAGTGTGACAGGTATCTAGGTAGCAAGATCTGTAAAGAATTCATTCCCATAATTTAGGCCAGGTCTAAATATGCAAGTTCAGTAGTTTAACTTCATAATTTATGCTCTGATTGTATCTAGTATGTGATAAAATGGGGTAGGTGGCCTAATTTTTTATCTAACTAGTGTGGTGCAGCTGTGCTTGGCTGGTCACTTCTACAGAGAGCATTCACTTGAAGCTTCACATGGTTTTCCTATAAATATCAGTGGCAGGATTGCTGGTTGGAAAGGATCTGTAGAGGTCAGAGTCTGCCCTCTTTCTTACTCCATGTCTGGAAGTTGTCCAGTCCAGCCTGATGGTGAGACTTTTGCCACTGATAAATTATGTCATAGGTGTTTGCTCTGGGCCTTGTAAACTGCCGGGGGTGAAGGTTATACAGATCCTCTGGGTATCCTGTTCTGCTGCAGCAATATAGCATAATCAAGAGCTTTTCTCTTCATTTGTAGCTGTTGCACCCTATTCTGCCACTGCTGAGAGGGGTTGGGGGCAGTGTTATTTTTCTAATACTTTATGAAGGAGTGATGGTCTGCTGTTAGATCCCCCTTATTCTCTACCTTTCCAGACCATGTCCAGCACCCTCAGCCTCCTCTTACAGACCATGAACTCAGGTTTCCAGAACTAGACTCAGTATTCTATCTGCAATATCACCAGCACTGAGTGCAAGGCCTGTCTTTGCTCTGCAGCTTACACTTTTTGTAATGTAGCCCAGAATGCAATTCAGTCACTTCTTTCACATTCAGTTATGGTTGGTCTGTATCTCAAGTGATCATCTTTCAATTTTCTGAAGAAGTGGGCTTAGCATTCCAGAAGGTGGGTCAGTCTACTTGTTCCTGTCCTAGCACAATCTGCCCCAGCCCTATTGTCTCTAAGAAAAAGGGAAATACAAATAACAGTTTTACAAAATGCTGGGTTATGAATGTCCTTTACCATGTGGCCCATTTTGACAGAATTATAGAATGCTTTCGGTTTGAACAAACTTTTAAAGGTCCTTGGTCCACCTCCTGCATTTGGTAGGGACATCTTCAACAAAACCAGGTTTTCCAGAGACCTGTCCGTTTTGACCTTGAATGTTTCCAGGGGTGGGGCAACCACCACTTATCTGGGCAATCTCTGCCAGTGTTTCACCATCCTTATTGTGAAGTATTTATTTCTTACCTAAGTCTGTTGTTCTCTTTTAGTTTAAAACTATTGCCCCTTGTCATACTAAAAGGTTTGTCCTAATCTTTTTTGTAAGACCCCCTTTGAGTAATGAAAAGCCACCCTGGTACCTTCTCTTCTCCAGGCTGAGCAGCCCAAACTCTTGCAGCTTTTAATTTTCAGTATTGAATAACCTCTGTATTTCTCCCAATCCTGGTTCTGCTTAACAAAGTGGTGTTTTGCTACAGGTCAAGCCCTTTTTCCCCTCTTACTTGCAGTATGGTAACATTTTAAGAGTCTTCTCCCAGTCTTTTGGAGTTTTGGGTCAGTTTGACAATAGACAGTTGTATTATGAATATTAGTGTCTGTATTTGTTCATAATGTAGCTTTTGTCTGTGGATTAGTTAAATTTGCTGCCTAACAGTTCAATGAGGCAGTAGTTTGAAGTCCACTAGATTCTTTGGTTTCTGGCATTCAATAAGTCTTTGGTTACAAATAAGCATTCAAAATCCTTAATGGGAACAGCCTTCAAAATTGAAAGAATCTGAAAACCAGTCGAGTGTGACAGCTCATAAAACTTCTGTAGTAAATTTCAAGTATAAATGGGTGGGGGTGTATGTTGTATTGTCTTATGTTGTATTGTCTTAGTGTTGTTAAAGGGAAATTTTTCAAATACATCGTTATTCCTGGCATTTTGTATCTTTTCCAGGAGCAATTCTTAAGGATCTTTTTGCAATTGTGGTCTGTTTCTGTAAAAGCAAGTAGAGAAATTGCTGGTGATTCTAGCAGAACCAGAAGTGTGATCCCAGGAACTGGGGCTGTGCTTTTAGGCACACACTTTCATCCGGGTTAAACAATTGTGAAGTTATTGCCACAGTAACTTAATTTTTAGCTGGTGTGAGGCTAAGGTGTGGAGCTGTGGGTAAGGCTGTGTCATTTCCTTGCAGGGTGAACCTGTCAGAGTGCTGGTGACTGGAGCAGCTGGGCAGATCGCTTACTCCCTCCTCTACAGCATTGCCAAGGGTGATGTCTTCGGCAAAGACCAGGTAACTCTGAATTGAATTGCAGTAGGTAATTGACCAGGTAACATTGAATTGCACAGGAATGAATGAATGTCAGAACTGCAGTGCCTGAGACTGGTTTCCTCATAGACACTCGGAATGGTTTACCAATACGCAAGTAATTTCTTCTTTAAATGGGGAAAATGGGAGTTCTGCTTTGTTATGCAAGTTGTCAGTTGTTGGTTGTGCTGAAGTTGTTTGTTTTCTGCAAATGGATTTTAAATCTTGCACAAGGTAACAGCATACAAAGAGTACAAGACAGATTCATTTTCAAAACAGATTTTGCCCAGCTTGCACTAAACCTTTTCTTTCTTTCCAGCCTCTTATTCTTGTGCTGCTGGACATCACTCCTATGATGACGGTTCTGGAAGGTGTGGTGATGGAGCTGCAGGACTGTGCTCTGCCACTGCTCAGAGGTGGCCAAAACAATTTTTTCTTATACCTACAAGATGCTGCAGTACACTTCTTGCATTTATGAGTCCATGTAGCTGGCAGGAGATTAGGCAGAAGAAAGTCTTAGATGATCCTTCCTTGGTTTTGTATTTTGTGGAATATAATCAATTTAGCTTAGCCTGTAAACTAAGAAAAATGACATCAAATAGGTTTTGTGAACAGAACTGGCAATGCAGGTACCTGGGTTTATATCATCTAGTCCTGGGCTTTCAGCCTGGACAAGAAATTGTCAGATACTTGTGCATATGTGAATTGTATTCTGGCCCAGCCGTGAAATATATATATATATATAATATATAATCGCTGTATTGTGTATATAATATTTATTGCTAAATTTAAAAAACCCTAATTTAGTCTTAAAAATATATTCTGTATAAAGACACAAAATAAAAAATCGCTCCTCAAGCCATGTAAACAAGCTGAATTCTGATAGTTTAAACAAGAAGAAGAAAGGGAACAAGTAGGTATTAATGTAGTTACTATAAAACGTGACAAAAAAAACATGTAGGTACCAACTCTTGTACAAATCAAATGTTCTCTGATTTGAATTGTTAAAGGGGCAGCAAAACTTCACTTGTGTTGGTACTTGCCACTGAAATTTTATTGTAAAAGTAAAGAAAAGCATATGTACTTATATATACATTTTTAGAGGCAAATGAAATGTATCTTTTTACATAGATTTCTCCTGTGTTTTCCACTTTAGATAAATATTTGTATATAAAATCCATTTACTGGCAAGTATTTAATTTGTGGAGGTAGGGCCAAATGACTGTACTTGTATTTTTGGAAGGGGAAGGTGGTGGTATTGTCAGATTAGATTATATACTATTTTTGCACAAGAGAATATTCCCATTAGCACTATGCCATGAGTATTTATCTTGCTGAATCCTTTTCCCCCTTTCCTTTTTTTTAGAGGTCATTCCAACAGACAAGGAGGAAGTTGCATTCAAAGACCTTGACATAGCAATTCTGGTTGGCTCCATGCCAAGGAGAGAGGGCATGGAGAGGAAGGATTTACTCAAAGCAAATGTGAAAATTTTCAAGTCTCAGGGTGCAGCCTTGGACAAGTATGCCAAAAAGACTGTCAAGGTGAATATAGGAACTGAATTTAAAACATTAATTCTCTATTATGTAGAGATCTGGATATATTGTAGAAGAATATTGCGCAAGCAGGAGCCTGTTCTGTAACAGCATTCCTTTTCTAATGCCCTGGAAAATAGACCACAGTCAAGGGTAGATAAGAAACAGAATGTTAAATAGGTGGATGATTTAGTCATTAATTTGTTTGGTGAAAAAGGTGAGTCTTACAATGTATTGCTGTATTCCACACATAGGCTGAACTGGTTACCACCAATTTGAAAAGCAACTCCATCAAACTGTTTTTTAAAAAAATAAGCAGTCTTTGGCCCGTTATTGCTCTTCTCTGGGAGAACTAAATTAACTACATGCAGCTGCCTACTTCATATCCGTCTGTGTCCTTTAACATAATGACCCTTAGCTTCAGCTTCAGTATGGAATTACAGTTGCACAAAAATCGGCTTTATTTAGGTTGTTTGCATCTTATTCTTTGGAGTAGAAGATTTTAATTGTTCTCTCTCAGATTCCTTCAGCACAGTTAATGGGATCATGTGGCTGCTCTCCCACTGCTCTTAATCTCAGACCCAGACTCTGACTGTGCTTTGTAACTGACTTCTAATGTCTGCTGATGAACTTCCTACAGCTTCTAAAGATGTGTTTACTTCTTTATCCAGTTGGAATAAAAACTATCAATATAACTATTGCGGAGTAGTGGAAAATTTACTGAACTCACTTTCAAAAGGGGAAATAGAAAGGGAGGTTTGCAGATCAGCTTGTGTGATTTAGAGTATATGGAGTTTGACATAAAATCATTTGAGGCACAAATGAAGGATGAATAAAAATCAGTTTTGCATAGTAATAAATCAAAGTTGAGGCAGTATTTTACTTCTAACTGCCTATGAACATCGAGATAAGTCACTGTTCTGGCTTTCTTAATTATAAAGCAATTATATAAAGCAGTGGCAGCCAGTCCAGAAAGCGTTTAAAAGTGGTTGGTTAAAAGTGTGCACGTGTCTGTCTTTCACTATATCTGTTAGCATGAGGTTTGAAGCCAGTCTGTAGATCAGTGTACAGATCTTCCTAGACATCTTGTTCCCTTTCACATTTGGATATCAAGCTAAAGAAAATATCTACCTGGAAAATATTTTTATGTGCAGTTATAGAAGACTGAGTGATTACGAACGACACACTTAAAAAACAGTCTTATTCAAGGCAGCCAAGAGATTAGAAAACTTAACTTTTAGACAGCTTTTTTAAAGGCAAAGTAATGTATTTCACTGGAGGAAGGTGTTTTGCAGAAATATCTACTTCATCTTTCCTTTTTTCATGTTTAGGTTGTGGTTGTTGGGAATCCAGCTAATACCAACTGTCTGATTGCATCAAAGTCAGCCCCATCCATACCAAAGGAAAACTTCAGCTGCTTAACTCGTTTGGATCACAACAGAGCCAAATCTCAGGTAAAAAGGGCCTATTCTGTTGTCTCTGCTAAATACAAACAAAGCAATGCTTTCAAAGAAGCCTGTGAATTGAGAAGCTGAAGTCAATGCAATGGACATCTTTAATTTCCAATTAGATTGCTCTGAAACTTGGTGTGACTGCTAATGATGTGAAGAATGTCATCATCTGGGGCAACCACTCTTCCACTCAATATCCTGATGTTAACCATGCAAAAGTAAATGTGAAAGGAAAGGAAGTTGGAGTCTATGAAGCTATAAAAGATGACAGCTGGCTGAAGGGAGACTTTATCCTGGTAAGATAGCTCTTTTTTCCTCTTTTTTTTTTTTTTTTTCAGTGATCATTCTGTGCCTGTGCTTTCTCCTCACCTCATCTGAAATTGTAAACAATGTAACTGACGTACTGAAGCAGCTCTTTTCTCTCACTAGAATAAGACATCTGCAGATATCTTGTTGCTATCAGGTTTTTTTTCCTGGAAAATTCAAGGCAGGAAAGTCTTTGTGACTTCCACTGGAAAAATCCAACTGGAATGCTAAAATGATTCAGCAAAGAGTTTTTATTGCAGCTGGTGAACACAAGGTGAAACTTGTGTGACACAGAAGCACCATTGCCATTTCACTATGGTGACTTTTTAGGGCAGTTTTGTAGATGAAGTGGGATGATCCATTTGCTTCTCCCTACCCACCAGAAAAGGTCAGCAACTCTTTCTCTGCTCATGCGTGTGCACAGACACACACACACACATATACAGACTTTCCAATTCTAAATATGTGGCATCATCAGCACCATTTCTGAAAAAGAATCTGAAACATCTAGAAAATGCCTGCAAATGTCGTAATGTAGGGTAGTATTAAACAATAATGTTGGTTAGTAAAACAAAATAATGGTGTTAATTGATCAAGAGCACAGGCTACCTAAGTGGAATATGAAGGGAATTGGGTTGTTAAAGCCCTAGATTAATAAAGCTTTACCAAAACTATTACATTTAAAAACTATAAACTTGCGTATGGTGATGTAGATTCAGCTATCTTCAGGAATTCAATTAATTGTATGACTTAAGTATTGTAGGATTGAGACCAGCAAGTGTTTCACATTGGTGTTCAGCACAAGACGTTAATTGACAGTGTGTTGCTCGAGACATCTGTTACTGTTGACAAGCACAAAGTTTCCTGGTGGGAAAAGCTTGAGACATCTGGTTGAAATGGGAGAAGTCAACTAGCTTTAAAGCTAAGGAATGAGCCTCTGCAACATTTTGTTACATTCTTGTTGGCAAAACTCTTTTACATTGTATTTCGGGATTGTATGCCATATTTGTTTAATGAAAGAACTGCATCTTCACTGATAAAAATTAAATAATGTATATACAACGTCTTTCTTGATGGCATTTACCAACAGCATGTAGACCAAGCCATGATTTTTGAGGGTTTACAATTTAGTTATGGTTGGGTTTTTTCCTTAATTGCAGACTGTTCAGCAACGTGGAGCAGCTGTTATTAAGGCCAGGAAGCTGTCCAGTGCTATGTCAGCTGCCAAAGCTATCTGTGATCATGTGAGGGACATCTGGTTTGGCACTCCAGCGGTAAGATGTGGCTATTGAGTAAGTGCTTGTTTGCCTAATGCTTTGATTCTGTGCCCACTGCACTGACCTCGAGTGTATGTGTGTTTAGAGGAAAGAATCTGTCCTTTCCTGGAATAAGTTGTGTCATAGGAGATAAAGGATATTAAAAATTAAGAAAATTTTGCTTGCTTCTAGTAGTGAAAAATGTATTTATCTCTGACTTTTCTGGTTTCAGGGGGAGTTTGTTTCGATGGGAGTAATTTCTGATGGCAATTCTTATGGTGTTCCTGAAGACCTGCTATATTCCTTCCCTGTTGTGATCAAGGTAACTAGGCTATATTTAAATTAATATATCTTCTGCAAGACCTATTAAACTGAGCTTGGTAACAGCAGGTGGGACTGCAGTTGCTGGAATGTGGAGGTTTAGCAGTCTTTCACAGAGACGACTTACTAACCAAGTTAACCTGATTGTCAGCTAAGTGCTGGTAGACAAGTACAATCTGACATGACTAGCTGGTGCTGATTGCATTCTTTATCTGAAATAAAATTAACTGCTGCCTGGTGTGGTTCTTAGGGCCATAAGCTTTATTCTTACGCTGCCAAGTTTCTTTCATGCAGACTGAACGAAGCCTGTTCTTACATGGAGGGCTTTTTATTTGTTTGTTTTCAATCAGGACAAGACCTGGAAGTTTGTTGAGGGTCTTCCTATTAATGATTTTTCCCGTGAGAAGATGGATCTTACTGCTAAGGAGTTAGCTGAAGAGAAGGAGACTGCTGTGGAATTCCTCTCCAGTGCATGACTAGATCAGGAGGAAATACGAAATCATTTAAGAGTGGACGAATTGAAAAGCCGTCTGTAGGTCTGCTACCAAACACCACTGCTGTATCCAAGTCAACTGTCTGTGGCCATTGTGCATTTTAAGGTTCATATGCTTACTGGTACTTCGTGCCTCTTGAGTTATTAGCAAAATATTATTAAAGAAGTCAAACTAGTTTGTTGACCAAACTCTTTGTCTGTTCAATACTGGTTGCTTTCTGTGTATGGTACAGGATAATTGTTGCCTTGGCCTTGGTTACTAATTCACAGTCTGAGTTTTGATTAGAATTTGGCACTACTGGAACATGCCCTAGTCCATGATCACTTCAGCATCCTCTGTCTCAACTGAAAATGAATGCCAGTAATTCTCCTTGAACTGGTAGTTAGTTCAGTGACCCAAGTCTATCACTGAACAGACTTCAAGTAAATACAGTTCACTCTGATTATGCTTACAGTGTTTGTCAATAGAAATATTAAAAGTTGTTCAATCAGATACTGGCTAAGAGTAGTCTGTTGCACTTTATTTGCATATTTTAGTTATGTAACTAACACAATTTGTTAGTGCAAGATAAAAAAAGCCCTGAAAGCCTATTTTAGGAAACTGAGGGAAACTAGTTTAAACTTTAAGCATTACTAGCTTTCGCAATGACTAACATTTCCCTTTGTCTGAGTTGGTGTCTGTCCTGTTCTAATAGAAGTTTCTGCCTTGTACTAAAGTAAATCTTGGTCTGTCATATCTGGAATCATCTCATTTTTCTTTTTGGTTTGTTTTCATTTAAGGAGGATTTGAAAAACAGAAATTCTTTCACCAGAAAAGGAAAGGTTAAACTGAATTATAAGTAAATTGAATGGTTTCTTTGACAATTTACCAGACAGAATATAAAAGAAATCAGCAAACATCAGTAAGCTTATCCATAAAAAATAAGTCTGGTCTCAGAATATTACTGTACCTTTTAAGTATGGTGACAATGATGCAGCAGGGACTTACATGTTAGAAAGGGGAGAGAAGTATTTCAGAAAATGAGAGTGTACAGTAGCACAAGGCACAGGGAGTGAACACCATGAATGCTTATGAAGCAGCTGTTGCAAGCATTTATGCATTTCTGCAGTCTTAAAAATAGACAGGAAGTATACATAGTTGTATTTTTTTCACTCTTTATCTCTGTTTCTGTCCTTTTTTTCTGGGTTGTTTTTTTTTTTCACTGTTATTCCTCTGAGCCCGTTGGAGTTTAGTTTTCAGGAAAAAATTTCATACACATGTCTTTTCATGACAGTTTGGGCACCTCTGCAGAAATTAGGGAGGGAAAAAAGGCTGCCAATGTGTTGACTGTCCTCTGGCAGTTCCATGCAAAGTCAGTAAAATCTCACTTTAACATGAGCTTAGGGATCAAAGGAATTCATTGCAGTAATTACCATGCTACAATTTATTTTAAATTAAGGTGTTTGCAGTGAACATTATAGGAGATGGCTCCAGTGTACACTCTTACTTGGTATAAAAAAGCTAAGTAAAGGAAAAAATGCACATCTATGCCTGATAAATATAAATAAGGGATGATAAATGCTGCTAGTGTGCTCTGTACCACACCTACTGTAGCATCACCACATAGGGAATTAGCTTTAAGAAAGGAAATCTGGAAGATCTGGCTTTTCAGGGTTTTTTGACGTCTGATTTAAAGCAGCCTTCTGCAGGAGACAAGTCAATTCTTGTAAAATAATGCTTCTAACAATGTATCAGAAGACTTGCATAGTTCACCTCAGTGTTTGATAGAGTGTCTCTTGATCCTGATACACTGAACTCAAGTTAACAGTTGCACTGACATTTACCTCTTCATGCTGGGTTTCGAACACTGTTTCTGTTCCCTCCACATTTCCATGAATCAGTTCAACAGGAAATCTCTCACCTGCTCATTGTCCAAACGCTTTTCTATCTTGCTACTTACAAACTACCACGTGCTGGATGTTCTTTGTATTGGAAATTACTCTCCAGCTATTGATGAGGTATTTCCAGGACATAAATACTTTCTGTGCAGGAAAGGATTTCACATCCATTCTTTACTTGCTGATTACTTCTCCAACAGAACAAAAGCTAGGACTTCAAGCAGCAACTCCTGAGTGAGTACATACAAGCATTCTTTGAGAAACAAATCCTGGGGGAAATTAGGGCTGGAATTGTCAGATCCACTTCTGGAAGGTTTCTAGATGGAGCAGCTGAGAGTATTAGGGCTCCTAACTGAGTCTGTGTGTCAGCAGAAAGGCTCCCAAGGAAGGCTAGAAATTGTTCTGCCTGGCTGGCATGCCTTGTCATGGAGCGCCAAATCCCTGCATCGCAGATCCTCCCTTCGTGCTCCTGAAAGCTGCAAAAGGTAGGCTGATCTCTTGGTGCTTTCTTGACAGCTGTCCATTCCCAGCAAGAATTGTTTTGAAAGGGAAAAGAAATAAAGATTTTCCCCAAATGAACAAAAAACTGATTCCAAGTTTGTCTCACATCATCATTCTTCTCCCAGTACAGCTGTTCCTGCTATTTCATACAGTAACTCAGGTGAAGTTGGAAACTCCAGATCTAACAAATTAACCTAAATCAATGTTCTATTGATGCTCGCCACAGAGCTTCTCCCCTGGGTGGAGTTGTGAGACATCACATCATATCCAATCAATAAGTTTGAATCTCACTTTCCTCAAGGGAAGGCAGGAGAACTTCTCTGGCAAGTGCTTTCAGAGCACTGGATTTACAAAACAGGAAAGATGTCCTGAATGAGCTTATTAGAATTATTTCCTTTTTTAATTCCTTCCCGCCCCCACCTCCCAACCCCCATTTCCTGTAGTTTGGGGTCTTTTTTACATCTATAGACACATTTTGAATTCCAAGGAGCAAATCCTAGAGGATAGCTATTCCTCAGTAGTAATAAAATATCAAGTTACATAAATGTAACTATTTGCATTTTAAACAGCAGATATTTTAAGTATCACGGGTTTTTTTAAAAAAATACAAACATTCCAACAGCTCTTCAAGTGGCAGATTTGCATAGCAGCATTATAAATGCTACTGAATTAGAACAGAGGCTGAGCAGCCAATTGCTTAAAATAAAACTGTCTAACTGCAGGTAAATAGAGAAGTGAACAGATAGAGATGCAATCTTCAGCTTAGCCAGAAGTAAGCCCATTGTTTTGATTTTACAGAATCTTTAATTAATTTATAACTAAAAACTTAATTGCACAGATGCTTTCTTTTTTCAAGTTTGCTAACCATAATCATCAATGCCAAGACCACCTTAAATCCTAAATAAATTGTAAAATAAAGACATACAAATGAAAGTAATTTTACAGTGCAAGTTTTCTTGGAGCCTCCAGATGGAGCTAGTAGAGAGGGAGTCAGACCGGGAAAATTTTTCTCTCCTCAGCCTGTAAGCCTGGAGAATAAATACCTGTCCATGAGAAAGCAAACATCCCATTCTGCGAGGGACTGGGGGCCCAGAAAACTCTTGGAGAGGAGAGAGAAGGTTTTTACAAAATACTCACATTCCCACCAGTGTGGGTGGACACACCTGTCTCCATGCCATTGAGATGTCTACATGGAAGGTAGCTTCTCCATGACAAGGAGAATAACTTTTGCATGCACTTGGCACTACCCTTGCTTGAGAGGTGCCCCTCTCTTCCATTCCCCAATAAAAACAGTACTTGAGATCAAGTTGTAAATTCAGGAAACAAGTTCTGCTGTTGGCTCTGCAGGAGCCCACAGTGGCCAGATGACCTGTCCTTGCCCCTCAGCTTCTTGTAGCAGATTTTTGCAAAATGAGTTGAAAGCCCCGGCTGGAGGATGCTACTCAGGGTGTGGTCAGAGTTTCCTTTGCACGTGCTTTGGAGAAGGTGGGAGGGCCGCGCACCAGGTAATACTGGCCTGAGAGGCAAGTGGAGCAGGAAATACAGCTATCTCTTCATCAGCAAGCAGATCACAAGACAAGTAATCCTAACCCATTAACTTCTAATTGGAGAAGCTAAATCCAGGTGAAGATGGCAATGCTACTTTTGTGGGCTTTCAAGAGAAAAGCATAAATCCTCCTTGTTACAAAATGCCATCATGAGAAAACCAAATGCTGTTTGGTAACTTCTCTTTGGGGGGATCTGGTGCTTGTGCTGGTGCAGAGCAAAGCATGATAAATATCTGCCTCTTATGAGAACCAGGAGATCTGCCTTCCTGAGGAGAGGTGGAGGAGATGAGCCAGACCTCACCTCTGTGTGTTTAGGGCTAGTTGATACCACTGAATGGAAATACCTGGGGCAGGGAGGAGCCAGACCGGGTTACCAGGCATTCCTATTTGTCTCTGCTAAACCACAGGAGATTAGATTGGCTTTTCTTGGCAGGTGCCAGGCATTTCTCTGCATGTTGCACAAACACAGAAATAATTAATATAAACCCTCAGTGTGCTATACTCCTATCTGGCTGCATTGCTGTGAAACTAGACATGGGGTAAATTAAGTTTCTTGTTAGTGCCTGGTAACAGTGAAATATGGTGAAGTGTTTGATCTCATCTGTAACAAACTAGATCCTCATGAATGAACTCCTGGCAGCACCTCCCCAGTGCCTCCATTTCCTGCCCTCTGGGGCTGGGCTGCTGTTCACAGCCAGCAGGAGAAGACAGTAGCCAAGCATTGCTGGTCAAGGGCATCTGAAAGGGTGGGGGGGTTCAAACTCAGGCACTTATAATTTCACTAGATGCTAAAGAAATCATTAGAAGAGTTGGTCTAGACTTGTCCCCTGTACTTCCTACCTCCAAATTTGACTTCATGTCTCTCCTCCCGGCTGTCACACTGGCAGCTAAAATACTTTGTGCAGGTCATGGTGCTATGAAGAGGTGATCTCTTAAGGCAAACCAAAGGTGCCACTTGAGCCACAAGTCGTCCCCACAGGGCCTTATGAGGACTTTGAGGGGAGCCATGGGAGAAGACACAACTGTGCAGTGCTGGGCATAAAGTTCTGACTCTTTATTTTTCCTCTTTTTTTTTGCTAGAAACAGTGCTCTTCTTCCATCTGTGGAGAAAAAGATCCAATGTTTCCCAGTCTCCCTGGGGACCACTAGCTGCAGTAGGTGCAATGTAGGTATAGAGGAAAGTAGATGTTCCATTTTCCTTGTCCTTCTCTGGTCCCACTGTTCTGATGTTCTCAGCTTGCCTGCCAGACTGAGGTACAGAAGTGTTCTAGAGAAATGATGCTTCTTGTCCAAACAGTAACTTCCCCGAAAGTGATTTTAGCACCAAAAAAGAGTTCATCCTAGTTCCTGGTCTTTTCATCCAGACAGCAAAAGGGCTAATTAGGGCTATTTAAAGCTAACTAACACCTTATGGAGATGACAGCAAATGCATCTTGAGGGTACCAGTTCTTGCTGCTGTATGGTTATTTCTACAAGGTGAGATTAAGAAGAGTCCTTTTGTGTCCCAAAAGAACTTTGTGTTCGGTTTTGTGCCCTTTTCTGAGCAGCTCAAATCTTCTTGGGCAGAGAGGACAGCAGAAGCCTTTGTGAAGCTCTGAGCTATTTGGCAGACAAAACCAAAAACACCACCTTGATGTGAAACCAGCCTTTTCTTTCTTTTACTTTTCACCCAAGCACAAAGATGACATGCTTCATTTTGGTGCACAGAGAAACTTTTGATGATGGAATAAAACCCCAGAGATTTCACTTCTTTTTGGTGAGTAGTGGGGAAAAGAAGGTGTCTCAGAGTTTCTACGTTTGCACTTGAC